AAGAAACTGTATATTGTTCTATCGGCCCGAGATAAATAAAGTCACGATCAAAGGCAAGAAATTGCGGGGGAATAAAGTCTCGAAAGTTCCTCGTAGCGATGTGGGCCAAATACTAACTAAACCAGTTGCTGTAGCACGCAAGAACGGCGAACGCTCGAAGGAGCATGGAAAGTCACGCGCCTGTGAGAAATCCATGCTCGAATAGTTATATAAACTATTACCGGTCACGCAGCATAGCAGCATCGCCAAATCCTGAATTACAGAATGGCTAACAAGCAAGTAGTTACCGAATGTGAAGAAAAAAAAAGAAAAGCCGTATAATTCAGTAAATCAGCAAGGTTCTCTTAAAACTTGTTGTCATCGATTCTATATTTCCGCACGTACATAAAGTATAGCTATCGTATTATGACAATCATCGCCGTCTATTTTCAATATGCTCATTTTCCCGACACGAAGGCCGCGCGCGATGTAAGGATGAAATGAGGCTCGTCCCACTTAACGTTAAATTTACGACGACGACGACACTTCTCGTTAGTTCTTTAACGAAGAAGGGAGGAAATGCCATGCCACTGTTATTAAAACAACATTTCACAATCCGTGTGCATCAATATATCTTATTATCGCCTCGTACGCAATTTCCAAGCCGTTCTTACGCGATCTCGGTTTATCCAATTAGATCTCTACACGGTGCGTTCGATGCGAATCTACACGTAATGTATTAAAGAAACTCTACATGTATTAAAGAAATTTTTATTAAGAAATCCAGATTGAACGTAAATTACAGCGCAACCGTTGTCAACGTGTTTTTTTCATGGCTATTTAAAGTCCTGAAATTTATTTTTAGGCATTTTCCCGTTTGTAAACACGGCATTTAGACGATGCGCGCGGTGCGTAATTACAGCCCATGTACGTGCATTGGAAGCGGTGATTTATACGCGTAACGATCGTAAAGTTTGTTCCTCTTGCCTTTGCAAATGTTCGATTCCGCATATCACTCTTCCGTGGCGAGCGGCCGGCCTTTTGCCGCATAAGCGTGCGGGATTACTCGCGGAATTGCGCAAATTTATCCCCATTCGTAACACTTGTCGATGCGGTAGAAAGTAATGATACTTACAAGCGTCAAGTAATGATACTTACAAATCCTCTTGCATTACTTACAAATGCACCGCTATAAATCAATGCGACTAAATATAATTGAGTCTACGCGAGTGTACTTTTTGTTTATTGTAACTGTATAATTTTTAACATTAACCAGCAATTAACCGTTGCAATTATTGTGCAATTATTAAACGCATTCATATAATATATTTTTTAAAAACTGAATTTGTTATGATAATTTATGTAATTTCAAGTAATTTATCAATTTTTTAATCGATATCGATCACATCATTAAAAATATGTCATTAAAAAAGTTATATTTTTTTTCATTATCGCAATCGCGATGTAATCACGTAATAGTGTAATACTGTGTTACTTGTAAGAAAAGACTCATTATACATTAAACCGTTTATTAAAAAATATAATATATGTAGATTGTACTAATTATGTCATTTGCAAAGAATGTATTCGCGATTAATATCGACCGGCACTTTATCACCGACTAAACCGACTGACACTCGAGATTCCAGCCAAGAAAGGCAGACCTTAGGAAAGATATATATAGAGTATCGTAACCAACACGATGTTGCGATGTGAAGTATTCGATATCATAATTGGCGACGACTGGTTTTAAGGTAAAACCAGGCGACACATGCCATTGTCCAAGCGACAGAGGAACTGAAGCACGTAGCCTCAGCTTTATGAGTGCCTTTACGTCATTGTGACAGCCGTCCTTCGCGAAACGTTTTCTGTTTCAGGATTTCTGGTTTTATGCCACGCCAAGTTTCCCTCTTCGGGTTCTCTACTTTCCTCTGTCGTGTGACATAAATCTTATAATACGATATATCAAGTTCAAATGATATACAGTTGAAGTATAAATCGTGCAATGTTTTAAAATCATCGACAAACATTATACTGTAAAATGTAAAATACATATCTTTCACAATAAAAGAAAATAAATAATAGTGATAGTAGAATGATAATTATAGAAAAATTGGAAACAACTAACGCAGTCGATTCTCTTAAAATAAATATTCTCGCTTTTCTAGATTTTCTTTTATATATTGATGGCAAGAAAGAGATAAATATATATATTATAATATATATAATATATATATTCACAAAGTGAAGGAAGAGGTAAATATATATATATATATTTATTTATCTCTTCCTTATAATTATATTTCCTTATATTTATCTCTTTCTTGCCATCAATATATATAAAAGAAAATCTAGAAAAGCGAGAATATTTATTATATATATATATATATATACAGGGTATCCCCGTATAAGTGGCCACCCCTTTTTATCTCTTTATTAAACTAACAAAGCTAGACCTAATAAATGTAATATCAAATTAAACGGCTCTGACTATAAACTTTATTGTAAACACAGTGATCACTTAAAAACATTATCTATGTTAGGGAGCGGAGAAACATGCGTAATTTTTGCAATGTAAAGTGACAACTTTAATAGATAAAAGTTGTAGCGTTTTTTTTTCACGAATACAATGATGTGTGATATAATGACATTATCTTACAAATTATACAAATTATTTTGATTTAAAGTTTTACGGGCGACTATTATCTTTTCAGTTCGGCCCTGCGGTGTGACTAACTTCCGACTTTCGCGTTTGACGATTGACGTGTAATGTTTTCATCTGATCATAGTACTCTCGTCAATGTCAGAGTCGGAAGTTGGCCACATCGCAGGACCGAAATTGAAAAGATAGTAATCGCCCACAAAACTTTAAATCAAAATAACTCTTATTAATAAGAGAATTTCGTAAGATAATTTCGTTATATCATACATTGTTGAATTCGTTAAAAAGAACGCTACAATTTTTATTATATTAAAATTATCACTTCACCGTGCAAAAATTAATCATGTCTTTCCGCTTTCTAACATAGATAATATGTCTAAGTGATCACTGTGCTTACAATAAAGTTTAGTCAGAGCCGTTTAATTTGATATTATATTTATTAGGTCCATCTCTGTTAGTTTACAAGATAAAAAAGGGTGGCCACTTAAACAGGAACACCTTGTATATATATATATATATGTATACTAGAAAACAATCTGTGATATTTGTTTTAATTGGCGCTTTACATGTAAAATTTACAAATAATTAAAAGTTTTCTGATAAACCTTACTTTTGTTATAATTAATTGAATATTTCAAAATCAGAAAAGTAAGATTTTTTTCTCAGCCGAACGTTTAACAAGTTGCATTTTTCTTAATGAAAATAAACGCCACGATAAAACAAATGCCGCAAATTCTACCGTAAATTATGTTCAAGTGTATCTCCTGCGACATAAGCGGGAATATAGAAATCCAAACCGCAAACCCAAGCCGTAAGTTTTTCAACTGTCAAGTGATGGTCCGGCGGGCTGTCTATCGAGGCAAGTGTTAAACGGCGCTTCGCGTGCAATTCCCGACCGTCGTAAAACGCGAACCGCGTCAATTCACGCTTCTCAAGCAATTCAATTTCCCCGGTCGATGGTAAAAATCACTAGCGGCAATCGCTCTAGCACTAAATTGCTTATCGATGCACGATGACGGCAATTAAGCATCCAATAAAGTGTCACATCGTTATGAAGGGTACTTACGGTCAGCGAGCGTAACGTACATCATAATATCGCTTATTGCAACAGATCCGGCGATTGCTCCAAGATGTGTTTATATCTGCCTTTAGATTCCACTCCACTGACAGGCCGCGCAAATGCGTTGAATAAAACATCAACGCGATTGTATATACGTGTATGCGACGGAGAAATTTGCAATCGCTACCGCGATTATGTAAAAGAAAATGTATACGGCGGAAGAAAAGGTCTTTCCCTTTGCAATCTCCTCTCCCGCGTTTTATAAGCTTATATTTATAAAAAGTATAAATAACTTGCGTATCTTTCGATGCGATGAATTATGAATAGAACAATCATCCGCGGCAGAGGCAATGCAATTTTTAGCCTCACCTTATTTAATATGATGCTTTACTCATTTTGTAATATAATGAAGAGACAACAATGGATGACACGTGTCGGATTGAATTATTATCTACGTTGACGTCTATCAACGTCAATGTTACCCAAGAATAACGCGGTACGCGGAACAAAATGGAAAGGATAAAAGCAAAAGGTGTACGAAAAAAAAATCCGCGATCCAGGAGATAGGCAACCACGTCACGTTCATTCATCCCCGCGTTATGCAAGAGGCTCTCTTATACCCAGTAATTAACCTATCCGCGTGCACTTTCCCTATTTTGACACGCCAGCATACGATTCATATATACACTCCTCCTCACTCGCTCCTTCTCAGTTGTTGTAAACATCTGTAAAATGTGATCAATTCGTTCTCTGCGAACAAAAACTAACTCTAATGCGCCACAATATTGACTTTCCCTCCGTACACTTGCCGCACAAGTGTGTTCTGTATCTGATAAATTGTACCACATTCTCGTTACGTAAAAGCGTTTTTCCCCCCTACGCAAATGATACGTTTCGAAAAAAAAAAAAAAAATGAGACCATCGATGGCCTTTCCTTTGTTCGAGAACGTAAGAGGAGAGCTATATTCAGACTTAAGACGTGCTGCAAGTAGCAATTAGACTACACGGAGAAATGCGATACCAGAGAAGAAAGCTCTCCTTAAGAATCCGCACACACAACTCCGCCACAATGGCTGTATCTAATGACCAACCGCGGATGAGGTTCCACGATTCCAACCTCGGTCTTGTGTCCCGTTACGTAAAACGCCGCGGCGCGCCGGCCGCCGTATAAGAGCGTCCCGCATCGGACACGCTCTCTCGCGCATCTCGCGCACCGCGCGACTCCAGCAAATGTAAATCGAGCGATTCGCGCAGTTCCCCGGGCGAGTGCAGGATTTCGAGATGGACATATATATATACCTTGCCGGAGGTGGGCGAGCCGGACGTCGGGCTCAGGCCCTGCTGCAGATGATACATCTTGGGGGTGAGCATAGCTGGAGGTGCGCCGAGGCTACCCGGGGCGACAGCCACGCTCGTCATGGTCATTTCCCGCGATGGTAGCAGACCTCAGTGTCCTCGCAGCACCAACAGTCCGCGTCCCACGCGCAATCTCGCATTCTCAGGTCGTGGCGAATCTGTAACGGAAAAAATTGTCTCCTTTCAGTGGGCTGATAATTATCCTACAATTAGTAAACGGAGAGAACTTCCTTTTAAAATTTACCCTGAAAATTTTGTTAATCGTGGGATACAACATATAGTATTTCGACAAATTTTACTGTGCACTACAATAAATTTGTTGTAGTATATATTTTAAAAAATAGTGAAAATCATATAAAATTCATCGAAATACTATACTCTCTAAATTTTCTGGAGTGAATCTCACTCCAAATGCACTCGGCCACTTAAGTGACAGTATTTTCACTCTTTTGGAGAGAAATTCACTCCAAAAAATGTAGAGTATGTTATCCTATGATTAACATAATTTTCAGGGTAAATTTTAAAATAAAATTCTCTCCTGTCACGTCTCTTAATATCGGCTTTTAATCAAAAACATTTAATTCAAACTAGGAACATTCAAACAAACTTTTCAATTCAACAAGAAGTTTAACAGAATGTAAAGCGCACCGTTGTTTTATAATATTTTAATAAATAGTTTATATAATTAATATTACTTTTTTTTAGTTGATATTTGTAGAAAATATTATCTCAAATATTACAAAATAAAATCTCTATTCTATGTCTAACTGTACTTGCGTCTCATAAAGAGGTTCTAAGCTGTATTTAAGGTACGATGCTGATTGAATTGAAATCTCTATAGCGAAATCTACAAGCGGCGGAATGATGAGTTCGGGTTTTGACGGTAGCAAAACTGCATTTCCTTGCATAATCATCGCGATAAATTACGGCACCTGACAATAGTACCGTGCAATTTCTCTCGCCAGGAGATCACGATTGCGCAATTTTCGTCGCGCCAGACGAGATATTCGGTCGGTCGGACCTAGAAAGCGTCCAGGAAATGTTAATTCGCCGGGGAGTTACGGGCCTCCTCGATGTTACGTGCAACGAGTACAGACGAAATATATCTTGCTGATTCTATGCTTGGCTAAACACTCGTATAACATTTGATAGTTGACATTTATTTTCGACATGCGGTCAATACATTTCCGCCAAAGCCAATACTCGTAACGAGATTTCGTTCACGATTTCGTCACTCGGTAACTTTATTTCAAAATTGCGGCAATCTGCATAGTTGTTACTTTTTAGCTTACTCTGTGCTCTTAAATTACAAATTCTTATTTTTAATTTACTATTTTATTTCAGAAATTATTATAAACTTTCATTCGCAATGGTTATATGCAAACTTCATATGCTTTATGTATTAGGTGTAGTAGAAAGTTCTTTGTTCTAAGTTTTGCATCAATCAGAGCATCATTTCAAATTGAAATATTTTCACGCTTTTTTGCGATTTTAAAGTTAATATTAATAGTACAAAAAGCCTCATGATGGGGGTAGCCATTACCTAAAAAATCAATACTGTTATTCAGTTGTTAATAATGGCGATAATTAAGAGTATATTCGATATTCCATTTACTTATTGTTAGCATTTCATCTAAAAAAATGCTGCTAAGCTGCCAAAATGATTTGTACTGCATATGGTAATAATGCTGTAAGTCACGTACAACATGTAAAAATTGGTATAAAAAAATTTCGCGACGGAAATTTTGATTTGAAAAACCAATCACGTTCTGAATGAACTGCAAGCATTATTGAAGAAAAATACAACGCAAATTTAAAAAAAATTTGCTGGAAACAGCTGAGATCTTTTTGTACGTTATTAAAATAAAGATTGAATTTTGTAAAAAAAAGCAAAGAACTTTCTACTACATCTAATACTTCATATACTTGTATAAAGCGCAGTTTGATTTAGCGATGTATTGTAGACATCGCGATTACGCAGATCTTAGCGATGATGTGAACTAACATGGGAACACACGGAAGTGTCTCCCTCCGATTTAAATAAGTTTTGAACATGTTAAAATACAGACAAAAATAAAGTATCCATTATTTTTATACGTGCTGAGTCACACATTAAGGGGGTGATATCCAGCCTTGAAAAAAATTGTTTTTTTCTTTCTGAATAAATATCATGTAAACCATCAAATTCGTGACGATCGTGGCGCGAGGAGCTGCGCGATAGCTTTATGTGCTATAAAGATCCAGGTTCAAATCCACCCAGAATAATAAAACTCTGAAATCGATTTTAACCGATTCGGAAGCGATCGCCGCCTCTCGGAAGGCAACGGTAAACCACCGATTTATAGTATATAACCTATATACTGTAAATATTATTACTCTATTGCGAAGATAAAATTGCATAGTAGATTCGGCTAAATATTTGATTTTAACAGCAAATGTTTTTTTTGTAACACCTACATTTTAATAACTAATAAATTGAACTTCGACAGCAACGACATTAGCTGTCCCTATTTTAATGACACATCTTAGCTGCCATAGCTATATTTCAGCTTCATTGGCTAATCCTTTTTCTGCGTGCATGCTTTTTATGAGTAAGAATAATAGGACTAAGAAAGAAACCATCAAAGATATAAAAAAAAGTTTGAAACAAAAGTTTTACGACTTCAGTGCTTTACAAAGGGGCATTTTAATTAAAAAAAAAAAGAAATCATTTTTCACCCCTCCACAAAATGCGCCATTGTAAAGCGCAATTGAGGTTGTAACCGTAAAACTTTTGTTTAAAACCTTTTTTTATACCTTTGACGATTTACATGATATTTATTCAGAAAGAAAAAAACTGATTTTTTTTCAAAGCTGGATATCATCCCCTTAAAGTGTGACTCAGCACGTATAAGAAATTGTTAGTATCTTATTTTTATCTGTATTTTAACGTATTCAAAGCTCATTAAAATCGGAGAGGGACACTTCCGTGTGTTTCCTTGTACGTAAATTTAGAACGTAACGAAAGCTACAAGCAGAACTTTATAAGAGATTCGTGTGGGAGCGTGACAACAATATCGGACGATCTGAATTACGCTTGTATCTAAATAATTTTTAACCGCGTCAAACTTAATTGTTGCTACCTTCCAGCAACAAGTACAGATTCTATTCTAGTGAATTTTATAAATAATGTATTAAGCAATTATATTTCTCGTATATGATAAACAGAGCACATCACGTTAGTTAAAGACTCGCTTAAGGTGAACAGAATCCATACTTAAAAATGGGAAGTCAGAAAAAAATAAATGCATCACGTGAATCTCACTGGATCACGAATCTACATATATGTATCGTTTGTTGGACGAAGGAAAATTGTAAATATAAGATAAACCGTTCAACGGTCTGTGACTAACAGTCGATGCAAACGAGACCCACAAATTAATTCCACAAACGAGGGAACGCAATGTACGAGTGACGCGGTAGCATTTAATTAACAGAGCGAGCGACTATCAAATAAATGGAGCAGATAACTGTTCGGAGAGGAAGAAACGATCGCGATAAACGACAAATTGTCATCAATCGTGCCATCAAATGCTGCATTTAACGGTAAATATAGCCGACCAGGCGAATTTCGAGAAGCGATCTTCGTTTAACTTTTATATGATTACATATTTAAAATCCTTAATTAAACAAAAATACAAGTGCAAGTACAGATTCCCATTCGAAGTTACAGTCACGTTGTAGCATCGCTTATTCCGGTCGACTATCGTCCCGTGCACATCTGCACCGATGGCCACCGACCGTATTTTAATTTACGTTACGGCTCGGATTTGTGAAATTCGCTACAGTTCGCGGAATCCGTTGTTTCCCCACGCGCGTGCGGCCCTGCACGCACTGCATTCATATATACGCACGGAGCTCAAATAAAGATGTCTGCAGCGAAGCCACCGACCGAGCCGACGCGTTATACGACCGTGGAATGCATTCCCGAGATTCTTGCTCGTCGATGCACCACCGGCTGTCCGTGATGTATGAGTAAACACACACGTCAGGTAATAACGAGACGGACGTAATAGCACCGACTATGTCGGAGCTATTTTTGCGCGACGTCGCGAAGAAACCGCGAGGTACCCATTAAATTTAGAAGGCGAGATCAATCGCGTGAGGTAGGCATCGATTTATGCACACAATACAATTTATATGACACAATTGAATATACAGTCAGTGGTACAAGAGCGTATTATTCATAATTTTTGTTAATAGATGTCGTATGAGTAAAATTTTTATATGTTAATATTTGCAATATATATTAGGCTAAAATGCTTTGAAAGTTAGATTTTAATTCGGTTTAGTTATTGTGTTATAACTGGATAAAACACAGTAAATACAGGGTACATAAAATGGCATTTTTATACAAAACACTGATTTTCACAATCTCTTCATGTTAACGCGATTGAAAATGTATGGATTGCTATAAAAATCTAGATACACTCCAAATCCAAGTGTATAAATCTGTAGTCACTTTTTACGCATTTATACGCGTGTTATATTTTTACATATTTTATTTGTGTTTTACACAATTAAATGCATATTTTTATACGTTTAATTTTACAATAATATGTGTAAACGTGTAAAAAATATGCATTGAACTGTGTGAAACACAGATAAAATGTGTAAAAATTTAGACTTATACACTTGGATTTACAATGTAAAAAAAAGCGTGTCTTCACTCTGAAGAAATTATTGTATCAATTACGTTCGATTTAGAAGTCATGCAGTTTCCGAAACTTTTACAAAAATTGTAAAAATGCCTCGATATTTTCAAGTCTTAATCGACAACGGAGGGAACTAGATGACGTATTAAATATAAATGCATCGAAGAGTATATAACATACTTCAAAATCATATAATTATTTTTCAAAAATCTTTTCTTTCTCAAGAGAATAACACTTGTGCCACTGACTGTAAGTTTGAAGCACGCATGATGGACGATAACACAGATGATAATTAGATTTTTTTTTATTGAATTCTCTTGTATTTCTAACATTTTCTTTCTTACATTTCTATGCATGATGTTTAAGTATAGGCAT